GAAAGAGCAAGAACGGTGAGTCATCAGCTCACATGTGCTTTGTGGCTATCACTCCACTTCCTGGTGTTTCTGTACCCAGGAGCTCGGGGAATGCGGGGTCCTAGCGGGGCCACAGTTAATATCAGGAGGGCAGGTAGGGAGAAGGGCGAAACACAGCAGGGTTTCATATCGTATATCTTCGATGTCTGTCTGTCGGACATTCCTGCTTCCCAAAACCTGGTGTTTTCATCCATCTTCATGCACACACTGTCTGCCACCTACCTGCGGCACGCACAACACCACCTCTCTTTCCCAAATTCTCAAAGACGTGCACACACACATGAACACTTACACACATCCATGCAGACAGGCAAAGACATCCACTCTCACAGTCAGAGCCTCTCTTGTTTCCAGTTTGGATGGTATGACGTTGAAAAATAATATTAATGGATGAAGTGCAGCCCCTCAGGAGTATCACTGATCAGGCCGGATATTGAGCTGCTGAGTTCTGGTACTTCCTGGGGAGACTGAGGATGCTCCCTGTAATCCAAACTACACCCCAGTTTTCACACTCACTCTTTTTAAAGTTTGAATGTGATCAGCTCTCATCTCTAACCTCACCCTGCTCAGAGATTACTGTAGGATTTTGGTTCAGAGTTCAGGTAAATAACAGTGTCACTGACCCTCCTCCCTCTCTCCCCACTGTCCTCCTTCATCTCCTAAGCCTCTGTTCACCTCTGTATGGCCTTCGCCTCACGGTCCACACCTCACTTCTGAGCTTCCTGGCTTCTGACTCACAAAAGGGAGAACATAGGCTGCTGGGGTCTGTACCAGGTACCATCTGGGTCCAGTTACCCAGCAGTGGAGGCAGCAGAGGAAGAGGGTGAGGAGGGGTGAGGCGGTGGGGGATGATGGCAGGGCAGAATGAGCTCCCATTTAAATTAACTGAGGAGGCCACATGGACATTTTCAAGAACAACTTAATGCAAAGTGACACATAAAAGCAATGTCTTCAAGTTTTGAAAGTCAGTGTTTGTAGAGAGGAAACTTACAGTACTGTCTTTTGTAGGGGGACCCAAATCCTAGGAAGGTCATCTCCTATAAAAGTCATATTGACTTTAACTCGTGTTTCACGCAGAAAAGCTAAGCAGCTTCTTCGGCGCAACCTGAACAGTTGATTTTATTACTGATATTTTAATTTGACATGTCATCATTATAATAAAGAGTAGATTTTCATTCTCATCCAAACATTTGTGCTATTCTGAACAGATGCAGAAAATAATACCAACACCTGCTCAAGGTCTCCTTAGTTAGCCTCAAAACCCTGTTGGCATCATTTTCTCACCCATCCTGCGCTGTGACACTGCTAAAGCCAATGCCGTTTGAGGTTTCTCTGGATCTGTTTGCTACTACCATGTATTTGATTAAACTCTAAAGTTTCTTTTGTGTTTTATCATTCCTTGATAGTTTTTTTTTTACTTCCGCCAAGGAGGTTATGTTTTTGGTAGCATTGGTTTGTTTGTTGGTTTGTTTGTTGGTTTGTCTGTTAGCAACTTTACGGAGAAAGTAACAGACGGATTGACCTGAAATTTTCATCAGAGGTGCGTCTCAGCCCCAGGAGGATCCCATTACATTTTGGTGGTGATCCGGATCGCCTTCTGGATCCAGGAATTTTTTGAAGGATTCTTTATCATTGTGAGATAGAGATTTTTGCATTTAACTCTAAAAAAATGACCAGTCTTCAGTAAAAAATTACACAAAAGGATGAGTTTTATGAGGTGTCAAAGGTTGATCCTGATCCTGACAAAATTCCGGATACTATGATCCAGAACACACAAAAATAAGGGTGTCGTTGGAATTTTCAATGCTGAAAGATAACCAATGAAGATACAAGGAAGTGTACGCTTACAAATATTGCATAATAAATCATGCATTTATGTATCTAATATGAGCTTTGTTGTTTTAGGAACATTATGAACAGTGAACATACCAGTTTAAACACAAATAAAAGTTAATAAAAGACACGTAACAGTAAAAGTTTTGGTGTGAATCACAATATAAGGGGGGACATGAGCTGCTTGGCGGAGGTCTGCACTCTCCGTGTGCTTTTCTAGTTTTTTTGAGTGGGTTTAGGTAGGGCGCTTGTCAGTGTTAGGTGTACTGCCCAGAGGGGATGCTGGACAACTTGGTTTAACTATCCCCTTCGAGAACACCGTTTCTGAGAAAGCTCTTTTGTTTTTGGACAGGACAGGAACAGCTTTCTCCACTTAAATCCACTTGAATAATCACTACTCCTTTAAAGGCACCTCTTGTAATACTGTTCAAGAGGTGCTCTTGTTATCTGTAGTTAATTCAAGTTTTTATGGCATTTTAAAACTGAAATAAGATTGACATTTTAACTCAGATGCTTGAGGATCAAAGTGTCCAAAGAGTAAAGTACGCGTTTCAAACTTTTTCATTTGACAAAAGAATGACATAAAACTGTTGATACACAAACATATTCTGTCATTGCCTGTTTGCCAGCATCTAACACTTATTTACAAAACACACAAACACTAGCACCAGAGTTATGATATCTATATGTAGAGTTCAATATGTACAATTCACTGATTTGACAATATTAACCTTTAGCTTATCAAATCAACACATGCAGCCTATTCAATACAGACTGTGTCAGTCTGCCTGTATATCATGACTGCTGCTAACATGACTTTCGTTATCAATACTAACATTTTCATAGGGAGTCAGTGAACAGCTCTGCACACAGCTCTTTTGGTTCACTGTAATCAAAAGGCAGAAAATTATAAAAAACAGATTTGGTTTGTCTTCCTGTCACTTCAAATGATCACAAAGGATTTTAATGAAGAGGGGTTTGTTTAAAAGAATATATATATATGAAACATTTAGTCTGGTATGTTTGTGAGTTTCTGAGTGTGTGTGTGTGTGTGTGTGTGTGTGTGTGTGTTTGTGTTTAAGTCCACAGCACCGTCCATATTTATCTCCCAGTCATGCTGCTGGATGACACTTCTGTATGAAGGATGTCCTGGTGAACTACGCTGTTAGTTTGTTGTGTATTTTTTTTTAATCACACCTTATTACAGAGGTAATACTGAATAAAGGAAGAGTCTAACATTCCTGTATAACTTCCAATGACGTAAACTCACAGATACTACTGACATAAGATGATGGGAAAGTCCGTCATGGGACAGTAACGTTAGAGGAAGAAGAGTTTAAAAAAATGATTTTCATGTTCATATGAAGAAAGAAGCATTCACTTTGGAAAGAGCAAGCAGTGCAGCTTGACTAAATTCCTTGGACATCAGTGAATAACCCCCCAGTGTTTTCTGCAGCAGAGGAGCAAGAGGGTAGACTTATAATAAATAATGGATCTCATAGATTAACATACGATACAGTGCATCTTCTATGAGGAACAGAATACATGGTAAATATTATATGTCAAGCACATCCGGCAGTGAAATGCTCAAGCTTCTTGGCTTTGACTGAAACTTCTCAAAATGGGATTTTTTCAAATTTAATTACATAATTTAACTTAGACTGCAGATTAGCATGTGTAGAGTTAAAAACCACCGAAGTGATTGAAAACCTGATGCACTATGGAGTGATCTTGTTGTAGCACCTTACCAAGACTGATGGGGGTGAGTAGATCATCATCAAATAAGAAACCAACAACAGCGTTACATGGAAACTTGATGCCTCCTCCACAATAAACATCATATTAAAATATGAAATGAAAAACTGAGACTTTTTTGGAGATATGAGAGCTTCTACAGGAGGAACTCTTCAGACTCTCAGTAGTGGTAAACATGTTTGAAAAAGAAAACAGAGAAAAAAAAAGGAGCGCAAAAGTAAACCCCTGAGCAAGATGTGAAAGCCTGTATTATTATCGTATAAATATATGAAATGCTAAAAATAAGCATATGGTAATACTGTGAGTTCATAGTAGCAGTCCTTAGTGCTGGTCTCCATTCCTCATTAAATGGAGGTTGTATGAAGAAGAAGCAGCTGCTGGTGAGCTAGCTTTAGCATTCCTCTGCTAATTAAATTACCCCCCCCTTAAAAAGTGACTAATCCAAATTAACACTAGAGCCTATGCTCCATCAGGTTACAAAAGAATCAAATGTACTAACTTTTTACTGGAAGCAGCTTATACTTCAAAAAAGAAGTTTCCAATTCAGGAAAAAATAATTTAAACGCATGGAAGAAAAAATAATAAAAGGAGGACCGACAACGGTTTATGAGGCAGTGATTCGCCAAAGAAGTTTCAGTTACAGGGCTGGATTTCAACATTATCAGGAATAGACTCATGACATGTAAGTTAACTATTTTTATCCATACAGTTTATGGAGATAAATGTTTATGAACATATACAGGCCATTGCTTCAACTTTGTACTGTTTTATTTTTAAGTCGATAATATCCCTTTAATATCATAATTGTGGTACTTTATGAACATAACAATCAAGTGGTGGAGATCTGATATCGTAACAGCCCTATTACACATCCTCTTTTAAAGCCCAGCTTTGCAGCAAAAATAAACATGTTGACATCCTGGTTAAGGTTCCCCTGTAGGTAACACACTTGCCATGGACAAGTCCCCCACTCAACCGCACTTTACCAGATAAATATAGATTACTAAAAAATGAATGAATGATCCTTTTTAAAACAAACAGTTCAGCCTGCAGTTAAGGTGAAGAAAGATCAAGAGCTCATTGGACTGACTATGGAGGGACGGGGGAGAGAGTCTTTCAACAACAACCAGATTTCTTCTCAGTAAAAGTTTGGAGAGGAACCGCTGCTGTTGGCTCTGACAGAGGGGGCTCAGTCAGGGTGGCCGAGGATGATTCTTCTTTTGTTCTGTCTCTGTCACCTAATCAATTTTCTTTGGCAACTCCTAAATAAAGTCATATAGTGGTACTAATGTTTTAATATAACACCATGTGTCTGTGGCACAGTGACGGCCCCAGACCTCCTGATCCCCTCCTTCTGTATCTTGATTCATTAGCGGGCTAAGGGGGCGGCATTTGTTCTGGGGCCAGGCATGAGTGAAGAAGATGAGCAAAGAAACAACAGAGGAGGGAGGGAGGGAGGAGAGGGATGGAACAAGAAGAATGGAGAAGCTGAGAAAAAAGACCCAGAGAAACAAAGAGGGATGTGAGGAATTAAAAGCAACAGAAAAAAAGTTGTCCTCAAAGAGCTTTAGACGTCAAGAAAGCTGGAGTCTGACAATGAGGAAAAGAAGAATCTGAGAGAAAAGGAAGACGATGTTGAAGAAGAAGGGGTGAAAAAGCAGCCCGTCTGAAAGGGACTGCTGGGCTCAGCAAGTTAGTGATTACTGATTAGCCAGCTCGGTCCTGCAGGGAGGCCTGCCTGTCCTTGGCTTGGGAAAACAACATAAAAGGGAGCCGGCTGTTTTGTGACGGGACTTGAAAGCTTGGTAGCTATCGGGAGACATAAGCCTTATCAATGGCCGGTCACTAGAGCCGGCTATATGAAGCAACAAGGGCACTGCTTTTCCACAATGAGATAACCAACACATACCACGGCCCACATTTGCATGCACTGGGGCAAAAGGCAGCCAGAGACACACCATATGACAAGAAAGCCAGACATGAGTCTGATAAAAACAGAAGTAAAGTAAGGCTGGATCCGCATTTGGGCAACAGAGGTTAAAAGGCCAAGCTGCCAGAAGAACAGCCAGCCAGTCAGCGTGTACTGCCCGGAGCCCAGAAGAGCCCAGGGTGTGGCGACCTGACAGACCAACTGTCTTTATTGTATACCTGCCTGATGGCTCTGCAGTCACATTGGTCTAACTTCTCCCATCCAGCACTGGCTCTCTGCACATATACATGTGAATGGAAGGGAGAGGTTAACAAGTGCAATGGCACCGTTCAATCATTGAAAAGAACACCTTGACACTTGGTGTGTGTGTGTGTGTGTGTGTGTGTATGTGTGTGTGTGTGTGTGTGTGTGTGTGTGTGTGTGTGTGTGTGTGTGTGTGTGTGTGTGTGTGTGTGTGTGTGTGTATAGGTTTGGCTGGTTTGTGGGACAGTTTTCCATTGGGTTGAGTCCACTAGTCCAATCTGCTGAACTTGGGTCAGTGGAAAAAGGCAGCTTTGACAGGAAGAGGACTTCGGTGAACTATGACAAAATGAGAAAATATCAAAAGACTTTCTTGAAAGATCCCTGTTTGACTACATCCCCACTACATATAACACATTGGACCAGCTTACACACAAACACAAACGCAAAGAGACCAACACAGACACACACCTACTTCCCTTTCTTAGTGCTCCACCACCCGCCCTCTCAGTATGTTTGTGCTGATTGATTTTTGTGGGGTAAGGTCACTAGGAACAGCTGCTGATAGACCGGCAATTCATCTGGAGTTCAAAGAGTGCTCAGGTCGGTCAGTGCCGTTCCCTGTTTGTACTTTACCGAATGACAACGTCATCAGGCACCCTGCCTTGTCAATAGCGTGGGTGGCAGGGCAGTGCGTCCGTCAGTCAGTCAGTGAGTTAGTTCCTTTTCTATGTGCTATCACAGTTACCTAATCAATGCAGAGGAGAGGTGCTCATGACTGTGAGTCTGCACTTTTGGTATTGTAATTTACTTGATGATCAGAATCTCAAACTTTGGTCCTCCTTGGAAACAAATGCCACTTTCCTTTTCAGAGAAGCAAAAGATATTATTGATTTCCCACACTGACAACAAGTTGGTGACTAATAGGGCAATCTTCAAAAGACAGACTTTGAATAAGCATAAAAAGCCAGTTATTGACCAAAAAGCCGCTCTCCTGTGTTTGCCCGATGAGTGTTATATTTGCAATAGTTGGATCTAACAAACATCTGAAAACAAAGTTCAAAGCATCACGCTCTGAAACCCGGCGCCACTCTTTTGGATTTGCCCTGTCACTGGTCATTCCCTTGTTTTCTCTCTCATCTTGTCCCAGTTCTAACAACCCGGCCCGCTTCAGATCTTGTTTTCCTGTTGCTCAGCTGACTGGCTGGCACACCTTCCAGAGGACAAAGTCCCTGAGTGAGAAAACAGAAGAAAACACACACGTGCACGCACATTCAAGCGCCTGCGAACACATGTAATCATATGCAAACAAAGGCATGCGCACCAGGATGCAGACACATCTTACACACAAGCCGACACACGGATGATTACATGCACAGAGAGGCTGCATACACACACAAGAACACACACTTCCAAAGTCCTTCAGAGTCGTGCCTTCCCACCCTACACTTGATAAACCCTTGTGTGAGCCTGACAAAGCAGGAGAGGGCACTCAGCAGCCTTTGAACACTGGAGCAGGTTGCATAAGACAGCTCAGTGTACCAGCAGACTGTATTCACACACTGGACTAGAGACTACTGTACCCATAACTGTATGACAAGCAAACCTCTCAGGGGTTACATCGAAATGAGTTCATGACTCCACTTTCTCTTGAAAGGCACTTTCACATGGAATTGAAAACTCTCCAGCTCCCTTTGTCACAAAAAGACGGTTCAATCAGATGTTGTAACAGACAGTCAAAAGCATCCTAAGCATAAGCGACAGCTGACAGGATGACAACTAAGACTAACCCCGAATTTCCACCGCATCCAGAACGGCTCCGATCCAAAATGGCAACAATTTTCTCTGTCCGCCAATTCCTACCAGATCCGTTTGTGAGGCGAATTTTGTGGCGGATTACAGACAGCGGGAATTGCGTGAACTCACAAGAACCTGCGGATTTCCGTGCAATCGCGCAATAACGAGTTGTCTCTGTAAAGACAGCCACATAACCATATAAGCAGTAGATTGTGTCCTTCCAGAGGAGGAAATCCACTTCTAGACTTTTAGAATCAGCATCTCCATGGTGTCATCGGGGTGAAACGCTGTCTTAAAACCTTTCACTTGTTTGTCTTCGCATGTTTGCATGGTGTGAAATATGATCCGCCTGAAATACGTAGTGTTTTATTTGTGTTTGTGCCCGACTTCCTTTCCAGCACGGGTCATTCTGTGCGGAGTTTATCTGGCATGCTCCGGTGTCCAGAAAAAATAGAACTCTATCACCTGCTGAGTCCGGCGATCCGCAGCGGAACAAAAAGACGAAGATGGAAATTGACACATTAAGTTGAATGGTTGCGATCAGCTGCGATCGGCGGATTCAGCCTTTTCATAGCCGTTCAGGATGTGGTGGAAATTGGGGGTAAGGGGTGAGTCATACATCAGATCAGATCCACACACAAGTCAGGGCTTCACATAATCAGCGCACAGTACAACTAGAAAATGACAACATTATACTATAGAGAGAAATACAAAATAAGATCAGTTCAGGAGTCTCTGTTTGTAGTGATCGGGTCAAAAAGCTGCCTCTGTACTCATGATAGCTCTGGAGAGGCAACTTGGCTCAGGCTCTCTTCACACAAAACCACTGGTCCTGGTGTTTTGTGTTTGCCCGAGAATACGACTGCCATATGACTGACAGAAATGTGTTGTTTACTCAAATTCACAGCTTTGTCATCATCAACACTAATCTCTATTTGCTGTGTAGCTCAGTGAACCACCACTGTTTATCCACTCTCTCTTATCAACCTGAGCCCTCTTTAAATGGTACATCTACAAACTGGGCCTGTCATGAGACGTCAATCCTCATAGCAAAGAATCTTTCTCTCTTTCTCTGGCAGAGATTGTGTCAGACAAGTTATCAGACACCGGGGCAGAGACCTACAAGATATCGTCTGATGATGGTAATCTTACACTGGAAAAAAAAGTAATCTCAGTAATTAAACTTAGGCTGCCCACCCAGGCCTTTTCTATGTGTGGAAATATTTCACAACCACTCTCTTTGCTGAGGTATGAGAGTCCATTACTCTTACTTCCTGAGACCTGGAGGCTTTCACACCACATCAACAACAACAACATGTCATCAATATGTTCACCTTTGATAAAATATACAAACAGCATTTCAAAGAACTAATAAAGTATCATTTAATCCAATATTTCAAAGAACCGGTGTTACCTGACAGCCCTACAACATCAGTTAAATACTTGCGTTATTGCCTGCCCAGGTATCCCATATGTGTAGGAAAGACTGACTTGTACTTGTATATTTACATTACTCTCCCTGTTGAGAAGAATCCATCATCTTTTCCTTAACACATCTGTACAACTTCCTTAAATCTGTATATTTTTACAAAGTTCATTTTTCTAGTAAGAAGAAAAGAAAAGGGGATGAGTCAAACATCGCAAAACCACTGCTGTCAACATGTAAAATGTGGGTAAAATATCCATGTAGCACTTCAAAGAGCTAATGCAGCATAATGTCATGAAATATGTTGGCGCACTGATTTTACCTGACACCTCTACTTTGGCGAATATACTTGGACGGCCTGCCAAAGTATCTTCTATGTGTGGGAAATACTTAGTTGGACCTGCATTTGTAATCGAAAGAGACTCTTTCTGCTGAGGGGAGTCCAGCACCCTCACTTTAACTCCTGTGTACAATACCATGTATGCTTGTAATATGTCTCTATCAAGAGAGGAGATTTAAATGGCTTAATGCCTCAGGCCAGCACAACACAATACCAGAATCATCATGTAACCGTCTGGAAAAATATGCAGCAGCTTAAAGCACCAATGTCATGAAAAATGTAAGTGCATCAAAATTTCTCAGCACCCACACAACAAATAGAGTAAGAATTGGATTTTTTAACTCATGTAGGAGCCCTTTGAATCATACATTATGGGAGAGACACAGATGGAATAGCAAATTGCACTGATCCTCTGAGACAATAATAGATAATTGTGTCTAAAAACAGTGTAAGAATGGAGGAAACAGGAATATAAATGGTATAAGTCAAACTGCCACGGCATCGTTAGGTTCTTAAAACAGGGATAAGTTGATGAAAGTGTAGTATGATTCAGTTTTGACTCAGATTCTTAACTAACCAAGAGTTCCTGAGCAGGAAGGTGACTTTGCTGTTAGTCAGCAGTTCAGTTTCCACGATTTATCTCAAAGCCAGACCTCTCCGGTGAAACTCAGAGGGTTAAGACCTGTGATGGCAGTGGATCTTAAATATGCTGCAGCCCCCGGAGATTCTGACGGGGATTATGTCAGAAGAGAAACTGGCTGAATGAATGAATGAATGAATGAATGAATGACAT